CAGTAAAAAGGAAAAAGACCTTGAACTCACGGTTTGAATGCTCATAGTATTGCCTTATATTTTTGCTATCAGCTAAATGACTTAACAAACAGGAAAAGAAACAAGTATACTGTTGTTACAAAATCGCATTTCTAGGGAAAAATGCAAGGTTTCACTTTCGATTATCATTTACTATTCTAAATCCCAAAATCCGTCCCACCTCTTCCACAAAAATCCCTGGATAAATCTGTGGTTTCCTTACTAACCCAAAAGTTATGCCACAACTAGGCAATTTTGCAATATCACCCCGTTTTACATTTTCCAAACCCAACACCCCACCCAATAAAATAAAATAACCATTTCTCCAAAGAATCGTTTTTATTACAAAATGTAGAACACAAGAAATGGCGATTTATCATTCTATATTTTCCATTCCCCTTTTGGCAAACAAGAAAAGTAAATCCAGTCCAGTGCTAACTAAAAATTAAAACCCACCAGTCACAAAAGAGTATGGACAATCAACGTAACCAGGCTGTAATTTTCCATAAGAATATATATTTGATCTTATCAAATTTTAACTCAAATTTCAACAAGAAAGGCATCTCCACATGCAAAAATTTATGATTAGATATATTAGTACAAATAGTAAAAGGAATTAACATTTAAAATTTCTTACCTCTGGTCTGCTAGTGTAGGTTTTCTCAGAGGAATCGGGAAGATCTGGCTCTGAAGCAGCAGTAACCTTCGAATAATTCTGCTACGAATAAGTATGCGAACATTTTCTAATAATTCCAGTGTTCCTCTGGAAATTACTGGTCGTATATAGTTTAGAAATCGCCCTGCTCTACCATGGGAGTTAATTGTTTCATTAGCGAATGAACTTTCATAAATGTCGTGGTTTACTCACTAACCTTTGAAACTTATCTCACTGGCTACTCACTTTAAACTTTGCCGCTCCGTTGGCCACTGGATCCAAACCGTTAATAATGTTGTCCATGTGGCTGACGGAATGATGATGTGGCACGTTAAAATTCACGTCAACGCCATATGTGCAAACGGATTACTCACCGAACTTTGCTCCATGTCACGGATTACTCACCGAACTTTGTTCTATGTCACGGTTTACTCATAGAACTTCCAAAATTGTCTCATTAGCCATCGAACTTCACTATATTCAACTCTATCACTCACTCAAATTAAGATGATATTTGGCGGGGGTTAAAATTGAATTTTTTGGTAGATTGTGATAAAAGTTTTTGAAATATGTGGTTGAAAAGTTGCAGGACCCATGAAATGGTTAGAGACGCATTTTGTTCTGAGATTCAATTATATTATGAAAGACGTGTTTGGCAGTGATGATTAGGGATGGGCAAATAAATAGAATTGAATCTTACCGAATCGAATCGGATCCGAATCAAACCAAGCGGTTCTTCTTAAATTAAATACCCGAACGAGTATATGAATCGAGAACCGATGGGTTCGGTTCGGTTATCTATTCTAGACCAAGAACCGAATAAGAACCGAATCTCTCTGAATTTTTAAATTTTTTTATAATTGATAAATCAAATTATTTTAATTTTTTCTAAACAATTAGTTAATTAATGCTCCAACTAGGGGTGTACAAAAGTCCCGAATCGAATCGGACCGAACCAAATCTGAACTGAATCGAGCGGTTCTTTGTAAATTAAATACCCGAATCGAGAACCGATGGGTTTGGGTCGGGTCTAGACCAAGAACCGAAACTAAATAAAATTTTTTATTTTTTTATATTGAATTAATTAAATTATTTTATTTTTTAAAATAAATTAACAAATTAATTAAGTAAATCAAATTATTTCAAAACCCAAAACCAAATCATTTTTAAAGCATTAGCCCATTTTAACAACCCAAACCCTACAAAAAAGGTTGGTAATAAATATATATTATATTTTTTTATTAAATCTTATTAGTTGAATAATTTTTGATTTATCCAATATAAAAAAATTTAAAAATTCAGAGAGATTCGGTTCTTGGTCTAAAATAGATAACCGAACCGAACCCATCAATTCTCGATTCATATACTCGTTCGGGTATTTAATTTAAGAAGAACCTCTTGGTTTGATTCGGATCCGATTCGATTCGGTACAATTCAATTCGAATTTTTTGTCCATCCCTAATCATCACTGTCAAACAGTCTTTCATAATATAATTAAATCTCGCTTTGATTAAATAGAACAAAATGCGGCTCTAACCATTTCATGGGTCCTGCAACTTTTTAACCACATATTTCAAAATTTTTTATCACAATATACCAAAAAATTCAATTTTAATCCCCGCCAAATATCATCTTAATTTGGGTGAGTGATAGAGTTGAATATAGTGAAGTTCGGTGGCTAACGGGACAATTTTGGAAGTTCGGTGAGTAAACCGTGACATAGAACAAAGTTCGGTGAGTAATCCGTGACATATAGCAAAGTTCGGTGAGTAATCTGTGACATGGAGCAAAGTTCGGTGAGTAATCCGTTTGCACACATGGCGTTGACGTGGATTTTAACGTGCCACGTCACCATTCCGTCAGCCACGTGGACAACGTTATTAACGGTTTTGATCCAGTGGCCAACGGAGCGGCAAAGTTTAAAGTTGAGTGGCCAGTGAGATAAGTTTTAAAGGTTAGTGAGTAAACCTTGACATTTATAAAAGTTCAGTGACTAATGAAACAATTAACTCCAACCACGGCAACATTTCTAGAAATTTGTTTTCCTAGTAAGAAGCAATTAAAATAAAATTAAGAGATAGAACTCCTACGAAAATTGAACAAAACCATTTAATATATTAGTGTGTTTCAAATGTACAGTCTATTCTTCAATGGGCTTTCAATTTTCGTTTGCTTATTTTCCCCTTTAAATCGTGAAGGAAATTCCTACATGGGGTTTCATTCTTATAAACCCTAGAAAAGAAATATCTGAAAATATAATTCAAGAATCAAAGAATAATTATTTGGCCCTTGCAAACTGGAGCTGACACATTCCCTTAAAACTAGCTATTTAAAACTTCATTTTTCCTAAATCACGATTGTTAAATAGGGAGCTAAATTTTTAAATGTGTTTGATCCACATTATTTTGGAAGAATGTATTCTGAAATAATAAATTGATGAATAATTTGTGGTTGAAAAAAAGGAAAAGTTATTGATGTGATGGAAAATATTATTTTGTTGAAGAATGTGTGGTTGAAAATGAGTAGAGGAATGAAAATCAAAATTTAGGGCCTGTCTGGTGAAAATTTTCCTGGCCACAAAAATCAATTCTCCTACCGTTAGAGATCATGTCAGCCGCAAAATTTGACCCACCTTCTCACGGCTGGTCCCACTTACCACTACAAACGGTCAAAATATCAATTAGAATTGGCAAAGAATTCCTACCAGACACTCTCTTAATGTATATCGAACAGGGGCTAAAAATTCATTTTTCCCAAATCACGATTATTAAATAAGGAGCTAAGTTTTGAAAAAATAGGGGGCCAAACATAGACTTAATATGTCAGCTCTCAATCTTATCATTTATTTTGAACTTATATATATAAAAATTTCATAAATTTATAATGCCTTGTAAAGAGGGAACAGCTGCTGATAATTTGTAGGGGTCGATCCTTAAGATTACTAGTTTGACATATTTTGATATTTTTCGATCCTAATCATTGAAAGATATGGAATAGGTAGGCAACGTTAGCTATAAGATAGTTAAACATTTCCTTACATACTTTGTTATATAGCAAAATGTACATCAGAGACTAGTTGTTACACAAAAGTTACACTACGTATTAAAGACTTCAAAAACTCTCTGTAAATAAGTACATCGTAGTAATGACCTCGAAATAGTCAATGTAGCAATGGGCTCCCAAAAAGTGGTGGAAGCTTGGGAATTCTGGATACATCATCCATGTATGAACTTCCTTGATATACATGCAATGTTGTCCGTCTTCTGAAATCCTC